ATAATAAATATAGAATTATATATCTTATTATAAAGTCTAGAAAAAATAGTCCTATAATAAAGTCTATAGTAATTTCTTATTATGGCTTAGAGAAAAGGGAAAATGAACTAAATATATTATATAGTAGATATCTTTTTACTTTAGTTTATTAATATATAGGGCAAGTTCTAATATAGTTTTTTATATTCTTTTTTATATTTTATTAGAAGTACTTTTTCTAGAGAATCTCTAGTATCTTACTAGTATTAAAATACCTATTTATAGAATTATTATAATTAGCTTATAATAATTCTTTTTTAAAAACCGGCTTATTTAGTATATAAATAGTATTCTAATATCTTAATAATTTAGATATATTAAGTTCTCAAGTTTTAATAGCTCTAGTAAAGGTTTCTTTTAAGAACTATTTATACTACTAATATTATACTAATAAATTAAGCCTTTAGTACTATAATAGTAGTTTAAATAATATTTCTTTGCCTTTTTTATATACTATTTTGAACCTAGCTACCTATATAGCTAGAATTCGTAATATATACTATTTATAACTAGTTATACTAGTAATAGGCTTAAGTAGTAATATTTCTGGTATTATTTTATTACTAAAATAGATTTCTTTTTTAGAATTTCTTAATATCTTACTAATTAAGAAATATTTATTTCCTCTTTCCTAGGCCTTAAATTATAGTATTATAGAAATAATATAGTATCCTATTATTATTACTTATAGGACTCTTTATTTTATATTCTATAGCTTATTATAAAATATAAGTAATAAAGTATTTTTATTTATATTTACTATAAAATCTAACTTTCTTAATAGCCTATTAGTAAAATTACTATACCCTGGCTAGTACTCTAAAATAAAGTTAAAAATAGCTAGCTTCTTTGCCTATTTTATCTATTAACTATTTAGTTTTCTCTTAATTATAAAATATTTTAGGTTATTATAATCTGTTTTAATAATAATAGTATATTAGATATATACTAGGTAATATTACTAAGTATGAAATACTAGAATAATAGCTAAAAGCTTAGAATTATATATCTTATATCTATTCTTAATTATAGTTATTTTCTTTAATAAAAGATAATAGGATATTACCTGGCTTCTACTTCCTTACTAAAAAGCTAGGAAATTATATCTATAATTATAAATCCTAAAGTATTTATTTCTATATAAATCTTTAAGGCTAGGTTAAAATAATAAAGAATTAGTATTATTATAAATATAATTTATAGCTTCTTAAAAGCCCTATCTGCCTTATTTATCTAGCTAAAATAATATTATAGGTTCCTACTAGTTTTTAATAAATTAGTTAATTCTTTTATTATTTTAGAGTATTTATAAATAAACTTCTAGTAAAAATTAGTAAAACCCAGGAATACTTGAATTTCTCAGATATTATTTTTTAGAGCCGGCTATTTCCTAATAGCTATAATCCTACTAGCTTCTATTTTTATATTATCTGGGCTAATTATAAATTCCAAGAACTTTATTCTTTCTATATTAAACTCGCATTTTACTAAGTTTATAAAGAGCTAGTATTATTATAATTACTTGAGTATATATTAGATTACTATTATATATTATTCTGGATTCTCTAAATAAATCAAAATATTATCTAGATAAATTATATAAATAATATTTATAAGGCCTACTAGTATATAATTAATATATGCCTAAAATATTACTAAAGTATTAGATAGTCTAAAAAATATAATATAATACTTAAAATATCTATAGTATATTTGAAATATTATCTTTTATTTATTACTCTCTTATATTTATAACTAATAGTAAGTATTTTTTAAGTCTAGCTTTATATATACTTTTGCTTTATAAAGTCTATTTATAATCTTACTAATAAGTAATAATAGTATTTAGTTCTTAATAGTAATCTTATTTAGATTCTAGTAATTAATATATAGATATAGGCCGCCTTTTTTCTTTAGAATAAATATAATTAGAATACTAGCTAGGCTAGTAAAATAATAGATCTATTTCTTTTTTAGACTAGTATTAAAATATTTCCGAAGAACTTTAAGCTCTCTTTCTAATAAAGTATATATAGGACTATATAATAATTGAGATTCTAGTTCTAGATTTATATAATACTTTATTATATAGTAATTAGGTAATATATCTATAGCTTTTATAAAAAATACTTAGAAAAGATTCTAATATTTCTTAGGAAATATAATTATCCCGTTAGTAGTAATAATAGTAATTCTTTAGCTATTTATTATAGAATAGATAATTAATAGAAAAACATATGCCTTATATTTTATTATTTTAGTAAACTTTCTAATATTTAGAACTTTAATTTTCTATAATTAAATCTGGTATTTTTATATTATTTCCCTAAAAGAAATTAGAGAATTAATTTAATAAAACTATAAGAATTCAAGTATTATATTAATATAATTCAGATTAAAATTATATAATATAAAATATATATTAGTTTTTCTTTAGTTCCCTAGTATATTCTTAGTAATAACTTTAAAAATATAATCTTTATATAAATAAATTCTTTTTTTCTTTAATAAAAATAAGGAAATTACTTTTAATATTAATAAAATACCTATATCTAAAGCTAATTTTCTCTTTATATAATTAGCTTCTATATCCGAGTTTATTAATATTCTAATTTTTTATTTATCTTTTATTATTTTAATAATAACCTTAATTACTATTCTCGTTTTAGGAGCCTTGCTTTCTATAATATAAATAAGTATAACTATTATAAGGTATACTTGTTTCCTGGCTTCTTTAGTTCTAGATACTTATATACTTTATAGCTAGACTTATTATAGTTATAATAAGTTAGTTTCCCTTAATTAGTGCAAGTAATAATATAATAATCTTCTTTCTAGTAAATAAAGTAAATTATATCCGGTCTTATAAATCCTAATATAAGTATTATATTAGATCCTATTATTATATTTTTACTATTCTAGTTTTATAAACCTTATAATAGAAATATATTTCTCTTTTATTTTCTTTTATTATTTCTTTTTTCTTTTCTCTTATTTCTTTTCTTTTATTATTTTATTAGCTTATTATTATATTTCTATTAAGTAAATAGATTTAAATTATTCTTAATTTTTATAATAATAAAAATAAGCTTTTTTCTTTCTTATAAAGTATTTCCTTAATAATTAATCTTATCTCGAATCTCCTGCCTTAAGTTATTAAATAAGTTATCTTATTCTTATAGTAAATTCATATATCTTAAATTATTTAATAGGCTATTTAAGTAAGATATAAAGCTTTAGATACTCTAGCCTAGCTATTATTTAGTATCCTTAAACTTAATAAGGATATTATTACTATAGCTTTCTAAATTCAAGATAGAATTCTTTATAAATTTAATAAAGATCTCCTAATTTATAGTATTAATACCTACTAATTACTTCCTATATTTCTAGATATTTCTGGCTATATTCTCAAAATAAGAAATATAATATATAATTTTTACTATATTAGTAGCCTAGATAATCCCGCTATTTTTATACTATTTTAACTCTACCTAATAAAAGAAGTCCTAGGCTTCTTTAATACTCTTTTTCCGGTAAGTAGGCAGTTCTCGGGTTTTTAGAGCCCTCTGAACCAAGAATACTACCGGGGATATAATGGGTTCTATACCGGATATCCGAATATCTTTAAGATAACGGATCTAAGCTTCTAGCTTTTCTATATTTTCTCTCTATTATATCTCTATTTCTAACTTAGTAATATAACGGCAAGCCGCCGCTAATTTCTCTGTTATTATTATCCTATTTACTAGTTCTAAGGGCATTTGAGTTCTACTTCCTTCTCCTAATTAGGCAATATAAAGAGTGCTTAACTGGGCGCTTCCCTGGGTACCCGGTTAGGTTACCCTAGCGGTAGCAGAGGCGCTTCTCCTGGTTAATACTCTAGCCATTAATATTTTGTCTATTAATAGCTTAACTACCTTGCAATAAACTACTTCCCAAAGGTTAGATTAATTAGAATATAAGGCATATAATAGCAGGGTAATATATAAGTAGTTAAGGTAAGTAAGCTATAGAGTAATACTTGCAAGTATAACTGATTCCAAGAATCAATTCTAATAAAAGACTAATTAATGCCTCTTTCCAAAGCTAGAAGCGTCTCCCTATATATTCCCTAGTGCTTAGCCAAGCCTGCGAAGCACTTTACTTAACTAGGAAATATGATCCCATGCGATCCGTACAATTCCGATTGCCCGTATAATTCCGATCGCCAGCTTTACCTAAAATAGGAAACTAGATCCACGACATCTGATACCTGTCCATGCGCCATCACGTGTGCCCATTATATCTTCGACCCTATTTTCCCAATTTTCGTTCTTCTTTTTAAGCATTTATTACCGTTTTTGCAGTGTTCTTATCTTGTCTAATCAGAGCGCGTTTCTCGCACAGTAATTACTAAGGCCGGTAATTGGCTAGTTGACAAAACTTGTAAGCGAAAATTGGAAAATAAAAAATCGTGCCTAATAAACTTAAAATTTCTCCTTTATTACTAGTTTTAGTACTAGAATAACTAATCCTATAAATTAAGGAGCTAATTCTCTTTAATTTTAAAATAATAAGAGAAATATTTAATTTAAGGAAAAAAGAAAAGAAATAGTAAAGAAGTAAAGTTTAAGTACTTTACTTAAACTTTATTTATATATTATATAATTACTCTTTTCCTCTTCTTTCCTCTCCTCTCTTTCTTTTTACTCTTTATATTTTTATATTATATAATTATTAAATTCAAAAGAAACATTTTTGGAGCCTAAAATATGTATTTAAGTAATATTAAATAATTAAGTATATATACTTATAAAGAAAAGCAATTAGTAAAAGAAATAAAAGAAGTAAAGAAAGTTTTCTGGTTAATTAAAGGATTATAATATACTAGTTTAATAGAAAGTATATAAGGTTACACAAATTTAAGAAGAAAAAACTAAGTAGTTCTGTTTTAATTAATTTTTAAAATATATAAATATACGACTTTTAATTTTTCAATTTTCGCTTAGGAGTCTTGTCGACTACTTACTATACTATAGCTCGCTAATAGCCTACGAATACGGCTGTATTTCAAGACGTAAAATACCTCAACTCCGCAGCTTTCACCCCGAATCATCCCACAGCACCATCTCCTCAAAGCGTACCGTACCCACCATTACTTAGTCCAGTACTCGCCTGATTGGTATAGATAATCCCCGACGTGCCCAAGGTCTGCACAGTGCTGACGGCGAACGCATCAACCTCGTCCCGTGGCGACGCGCCTGCATTAGCGAGAACGTATGTATACGCATCAGCAGCGGAGCGTGAAGCCATGGCGGCGGAATCGCTCGCCCAAGGCGCGGCCAGCACAACGGCGCTCCCGACCTTGTTCTCCGGCGCGCCGTTAAAGACGCCGTCCTTGCTGGTATCCGCGTAGTTGCCTTTCGCATACACGCTCTGGCCTGCGTTCACTTGGTAGTAGTAGTTGCTGACGCTGGTTGTGCTGGGCCCGGCAATGAAATAATTGTTGATGATATCATGGCTAAACACACCTCCGGTATTGGCGACAGTATAGGCGGCTTGGTAGTTCTACACTATGTTGTTGATGTACTGCGAGTTGGCCTTGGAGAGCGGTTGGCGGTTGTGCCCGCTCACCCAGAGATTGCCGTAGTAGGTGGCCTGGTTGCCCTCGATGTGTGCATCGAACTGTTGGCCGATGGGGAAGGCGATGATGGAGTTGGAAATCGTAATGTTGGTAACACCTACGCCATCGATGGAATCCCATTGCCCATATGCAACAGAACAATGGTCCAGAATGACACTGTCCATCAGTCAGTATCTATTTGTTCAAGAGTTCATATCACTTACTTCGTGGCACCGCCCATGTTGAAGGCGCTTTTCCCAGTGTCAGTATCTAAGTTGCCCTGCCGCATTCGCAAGTCCATATATTCAATTAGCAGCACGCACTGCGTTGTTGCCAGAAGCAACAAATGAAAATCACATACTGCGGATGATGATGTTGCTCTTGTCACTTGCAGAGACTTCTCCGGCCATGATACTAATCCCAGGAGAAGGAGCGGTCTGTCCATTGATAGTGATGGAGGAAGATAGGGACACAGCAGATTTCAAAACAATGTAGCCGCTGACATCGAAAACTATGTTACGGTTAGAGCTGCTCACAGCATCTCGCTGTTCACCATAAGTTAGCCACTACCCGGTGACGGTTTTAGACACAATCCTCTCTTAATTAGTATTGCTTGGAGGGAAGAGAATTGTTCAACAACGGTGGGTCAAGTTTGAAGTAAACGGGGCGGAATATCACATCTGGGGGTCAGTCACTTACAAAAGAGCCAGTGCCAGAATCTGCGAGTGTTGTGACGTGGTACGTGGTCCCGCTGTTTCCTCCGGTTGCAATGACACCGAATCCCATAGCTCCAGCAAATGCATTTTGCGCATTTGCTCTAGAGAAGAGGGCGGCTGCTGCAGAGGCTAAAAGAGAGCGTGTGCTGAGTATCATGGTAACCTCCCTAAAAGCAGCAATCGAGATAATCAAGGAGAAGAAATCCCTTAGTATTTATATTGGCAGATATCCATGATTATTCCGTCAAGAATATCTATCCGGAAAATTTGCGCCATGGCGGTCCGTAGAGTTAGGACTATACCCCGTTTGAATTTCGCTCCAATTGGCTTGGCTTCTGTTTCCCTACGGGGGGGCCATTTCCCTCCAAGAGTGTTTCCCCACATAAACAGGGGTTGTAGATCCAACGGAAAATAAACATGTCTTTGCCCCTGCCTCTTCCCTCTTTTTTTATATTTTTTAGTTCGTATTTCAAGTTTCAAATTAGCTCCACTCCAAGTAAGCCCGCACTATAGGTAAGTAATTAGTCTCTAAGTCGTCAGCGTTATATGACATGGCCTGGTAATGGCAAATCAAGGGAAATTAGATCTTAGCATATTAACTAAGCTTAATTCTCCGACTTCTTTTTTCACACACCTAGCTCTTTATTAACTAATTAAATATCTCATTCTTTCACAATTCTACCGTAAGCTTTTCTATTACTAGGTATTAAAAAATCCCCGTAAATCGTGTCTGTAACTACTAGAAGGGTATTAAAAGTGCATAACTTATTCTTCTCGTTCTTCCGTTCAGGCAATCCCTGTTTTTGCGGGCAAACGTTGCGGCAAAATGCGGCAGGATTAACCGAGATCCAAGGTCAATGCACACTCGTTTCCCACTAAAATCATAGATTTTTAGATTTTAATATTTATATAAACTCGCAATTCTATTAACTTTAAGATTTCTATATTATTGGGTTCTAGCCTCATTTATAAGATTATAATATAAAAACTTTATATTTTAATAAAGTACTTATTTTATATTAAGTTTAAAGTTAAAAATTTATAAAATATAATTTTATTAAATTAGTTATATAAATAAGGCAATAAAATAAAATTTATTAATTTAATATATATAATATAATAAGAAAGATTATAAGCCGAAATAGTTTATATATAATTATGAAGTTTATTTGTATTTCTTTTTAATATAATATTTTAATAATTAAATAATTATATTACTTTAAATAAATTAAAACCCGATTTTATACTTAATATATAATATTAATATTAGGCTTATTTTTATATAATTGTGTTTTATATTTCTAGAATATTAAAGCTTGCTTTTAGCTTTTTTTCTTTAATAAATTCTTTTTATATTAAAAATAACTAGTTTTATTTAAATTAAAGGCCTAGCCTATAAAAAAAATGTATTTTTTTTAAAATACTTGCTTTATAAGCAACTTCTTATTATATTTATATTAATTTACTAAGCTTACTAATAATAGAAATTTTAATATTTTTGAATAAGTAAATAAATAAATATAATAAATATATAATTATTAAATAATTAAAAACTTTAATAAAAGTTATAATATTAGGCTTATATAAGGCATTTATATTAAATTATAAATATTTAATTAAATCAAATATATAAATAAAGTAAATTAATTTAAAATTAATAGAAATAAGCTAATAAGTAATATATTTCTTTAATTTCTTAAAAATAATAAGAGTTTTTTTAATTAAAAAAATAGCCTCAAAATATAATTTATTAAATATATATTATTTAATATATTAAATAAATAATAATATAATAAGCCATATAATTCTTAAAAAATTCTTATAAAGATATTTATAAGTAATAGTATTTTTAATAATAGATTTAATAATAAAAATTAAGGCTTATTAATATATTATAATATAGCAAGCCGTACTTTATAAAAAATCACGTTATTTTAATAGTTTTAAGGTTTTAATTATATATTAAAGGCTGGAGCCTTTTATATATAACTTATAAAAATTATATAAAAAAGCTAGCTTTTTTTTAATAATTCTAGATAATAATTTCTTCTTTATATTAATTAATTAAACTTTTGTAATTATATACTATTTATATTTTATTATACATGCCTTTATTCTTATTATTTTGCTATTAAATCACGTTTTGTGCTTTAATATACTTTATATAAGTTTTTGTTTTATTATAGTTTTCTTCTTATAATATATATAACTTTATTAGCTAAATGTAATAATAGTTTTCCTTATTTTAGTTCCAATTTTACTTTAATAAGAATAATAATATTTAGTAAATATACTAAAACTAAATAATAAAAGAGGAAATATAAAGATTTCAAAGAAAATGACTAGTTTATTATTATATAAGCCTTAGCTTATTTTCATTATAGTTACTTAATATATATTTTAGTTATTTAATAATTATTAAGCAAATATTAATTTATTATAGTTATATAACAAATTAATTTAATTAATTATTCTAATTTAATTAAAAAATCCGAATTACGTTAATTATAATTTAATTTCATTAATTTACTTCTTATATCTTTAGTCTGGGTCCATTTGCATGGGCATTATAAGTATATACCACGAAAGTGACTTCTGAATTAGTAATAAAATCTGTATTTTAATCCAAAAACTTATTGCATTCTACTTTTTTGAATTATAAAATTTCCAGACTTGGTTCCTATTCTATTTTATCCTATTTTGGACCGTTTAGTGTATTCGAAGAGACTAGACCTAACTATTAAGTAGAGCTGAAATGTCGTCAATTTAGGTGGCGGTGGTCGAAGTCATGACGTTGTTGCGTTCAGAGGCATGACTACTCGTTGCTGGTCCATCTCACGCAGGTGCCAGCCGTTTGGTGACTGAGGCTCCATAGAAGTAAACTGGTATTATTGAAATCGTCTCGCTTCTAAGCGGCCTACATGGTGTATCATAATAATTGAATCTTCCCAATTACCAGGTCCCCGATGCTTCAGAAATTTCACATTAAACTATCCCCTTGATAGATTCAACCACCAACGTATTCTCTACCCTGATGCCATTATGCCGATATTGAGCATCCAGGATCTCCGTCTCACTGTTCGAATCGCCATGCAAGTCCTCACTCGCTTCTGAGGGTGATCTCTCCGCCAGTCTTGAATTTGCACTGACATCCGCCTTTGCGTTGAAACCCCGTCGATTCATCTCAGCCAAGTTATACTGCTTTCCAAGTGTAGAATCACTTACATCCGTCTTGTCGCCTTTCCATGCTTTATTTCCTCTGGACTCCGGAAGTCTTGCCATGCCGTCAGTGCGGACAGTCGGGCGAAAGCGCCTTCCAGCACCAGGCAGTGTTCCAAGAGCATAGCTGTGGGTGTAGCTGTTGTTATGAGAAGTGCCGATCCAGGAACGGAAAAGTTGCCAGAGGGTGGATAGAGATGCAGCAGTGATTCCAAAGCCAGTTTCAGCAGTACCCCAGAGGATTGAGACGCTGACTGAATCTGCGAAGGTTTTAGTCTACATTCGCCCCCAGCCGAGCCAGGAAGGAGGCTGGACGAAAGGCGTGATTAACGAGCAGTCAACCGAACGAGTTATACTTACAAAGACTATCCTGATGGTCCTGCAGATCAACGATTGCAGGGAGTCGGACCACAATAGCTACCGCGGCGCTATGTGGCAAACTTAGTTAGGCTTCATCCATATTGATGACCTACGACACAGCAACTTTCGAAGATGGACTGGAGGATACTTACAAAGCTCCAAGTCTTAGCATTATGCAGACCAAAATTTTCGATCTCAAATCCATCTGGACGTTCCATAGTAATATCATTGGTAAGACAGCAGAGTAGACATCAGTTACAGCAGCTGTGAAATTGGTGGCGATGGTGTTTCCTCGAATCGCTGCGGAAGGAACGCAAGATCCTGAACCGGTGCTCTTGTCCCAATACCAGCTGATGGGTTTGCACTGCGCAAGGAGGAATATGATTCCCTGAAATGCTACAGCGATGATTGTGGCCATGGCGACATATATGCTGTACTTATAACCAGGCGAGCTGACGATTCGCAAGAGGGTTACTAAGATCGAAAGTCTAACAAAGACAGCAGCGGTAGAGTACGCAAGGATATTGAAGTAGAACCACTATACCGACCGACACATTAGTCTCAGTGTAGGATAGGAGAGCTTCAGTCGTGGGCAATACTTACCTGGCCAGCCGCTACATACTGCGGATGGCCTGTGATGTGTTCATTCTGGAGACCAATGCCAGCCGCGGCACCTCCTATTACAGTCGTACATTGGCAGACATAGAAGAAAGCTCCAGCAGCCATCAATGCGTCATCTGGCCCTAAGGTCTTGTTCGCTAACCTCATAGACTCTTGCAACAAATGCAATCATGGGGACTACGAGTAACATAACCGTTACCCATATGTCCAGCGGCTGGTTATCTTGGAGGGCCATTCTCATTGGCGGACAATGGCGACTATAGACAAATATGACAGAAACTCTGAGGAGGAAACTAGTATTTTGAAAGCATATGCGTTACCGGCATCCCTTACACAGAAAACTTCAGGGACAAGTACTTATACGTCGAGACCTACCTGCTTCCTCAGAAATCAAGCTTTGCTACATAACCGGACATGCATTGTAAGAGCGCACGCCTTTGCTCTGCGTACACCTTAATGCAAGTGCAATTTTCTCAACCACCACTTATTTAATTACTCTATAATTACATAATCCATTCATTTAGACATATTATCGTAATTTAATGTACAGTTTGCATACCTTCGCACTCAATAACGTCCTCAAGCTTGCAAGTCAGGCAATGGGTCAAATATCTCTAATCCTCTGGCTTTACCTCCTTCCACAGCTCACGTAAAACCTCCTTCATATCTTCCTTTAACGTCGGTACACTCTCAAGCTTAGTGATCTCATGCTTTATCCATCTCCACACCTTTTTAATCGGATTTAAGTCCAGGGAAGACGGTGGCCAGTCAAACCCCTTAATCCCGTAATTTAATCTCCATAAGCGAGCAGCCCCCTTATATACCTTAGCTCCATCCTCCATAAATATAAACTTCTCCTTTTGCTCAGGGCTTAAGGAAGCATAGTGTGGTCTAATTACAGTATCAAGAACTTGCTCCTTATATGCCGTACTGCAGATCCCTCTCTTTCCCTCCTTTCTCTCCAAGAACACGAGCTCGGACTTCCAATCCCACCCAATTGCCGCCCAGACCATTACGCTTACTCTCCCACTTCTATACACAAATTGTATACACTCTCTGCAATTTTTCTCTTCCGGCCGGCGCGTTACGTAAATCTTTCCTCTCTTCCCAGTCTCAAAGGTTGCCTCATCACTCCACGCGACTGGCTTCCACTGCTCTACGGACCACTACCGATATTTCAAGGCAAATGCAAGTCTCTTGGCAGCTTGCTTTTTCGAGATAAAAGGGCGACGGCAAGCGACGCAGCGGCGATATCCAGCTGCTTTAAGAGAGCGACGAAGGGTTATAGTCTTGCATTTGAGCTTGCATTTAATTACAAGACGCGCGTAAGAGAGACGTCGATTATGCCAGCTTGCAGACGCGAACCGGATTACGCGTACTACATCTTTTGGCTTTAAGAGCTTTTGCTTTGTTGCTTTGCCCTTTCTTTGACGCCTGGAGGTAGGTGCTTTGATAATTTTCTGGAGTGAAGAGCGCGAGATGAGAGGTTTGCCATCGCGTATACCGCATAACTTCTGGATCTGGCCATAGCTTTTGCCGTCTGTGCGCCATGCCCTGATTTTAGACCGTTCAGGAGTCTTCCACTCCATTCCAGGCTGGTGCTCGCGTATAGCGGGTAACGAGAGCAGAGAATCGTCCATTTTGATATATTTGCAGAGTATATTGAGAGGTGTGGTTGAAAAATTAAGGGGTAGTCTCGCTTACATCGGGGTGTACGCAGAGCAAAGGCGCGCGCTCTTACATATGTGCAAATGGGGGACTGCTTCCAGGCACTCAGCGGAGACCCTGTTTCAAACCAAAAAACTTTATATCAATACTCTGTACCGAAGTTCCGGCATCTGAGACAGACTGCTGGTAGCCGGCAATTTCCACAACTCGTTCCATCTTCCAAATGCAGTCTAGACAGGTTTGACAACAGTCTGGGGATCCTTGTTCTGCGAACTTTAACCGATATTCGAGCTGCCAGAAACGAATTCGTGCTCCGAGATGCTGCTAAAGGGGTGTGGCACAGCGATTTACTCCCTGCTAGCCTCTTGGGTAATCGGTTTATAGTAAAATAGAAGTCAAATATCGTTACTATATAAAAGTAATGCGCGGAGTGTCTTTCACCTTATAAAACGGTCATGTAATATACTAACTTATTTTGGTAAGGAGAGAATGCCGGCTAAGCCTAAAAAACTAGTTTATAATTCTAGCTAGGGGCAAATAAGTACCCCTAAAGGCATGCTATTATAAGCCCCAAGAAAATTCCCTAAAACTCCCCTAAAGCCTGAAACCCCCACGTAATTATAATACTAAAGAATATCTTATAATATTATAAAAAAGATATAATATCGACTGCCTTATCTTTTATATAAATCCTTGAATATATTCGAATTAGTAATTTTATTTCGAATTATATTAAAACTTATATTAAAAGGAACTTATTTATATATAATATAATAAATTAAAAAAGAGTAAGCTAGTTTATTTAGTGCTTTTATTTTTGAGGATATTTAGAATTAAGTTAATAATTATATAACTAAATATATAATATATAGTTTTATATTACTTTAATACTGAAATTCTAATTAGCTAATATAAATATAAGTATTATTTTATAAGAAAATCTCGAGTTATATTAAAAAATCTAATTTATATATAAGAATTATTCAAGTTTCGAACTTATTTATTTAGAAAGCCCTTATATTATAAGCTTATATAATATAATATATACCCCTGGTATATTAGTGCAAATTTATAATATATTAGAAATTTGTATTAAGACTACTTTTTTCTTTTAATAAAAAAATTCAAGATTTTTAATAACTTTTATTATATAATACCAGACCTTAAAAAATAAAGTTTATATAGAGGTACGCCCCATAACTACGCAATGTTTGGCTTCTTGCGATTTTTGAAATTTGTGAAATTAAAGAAGTTATTACAAAACGGCCGCATCGCTGTAATAAAACCGTATCGCTGATTCGCACCAAACCCGCACGGGACGTCGGGGCTTTGGTGCAAGACCTGACGCACGACTAAGCGAAACTATTGTTTCCATCTGATCTGCGCCACAAGGACTCGGTTCCTTCACCTGAAGTCAGGACTTTCTCCGCAACCCTCATTTCGATTTTCCGTCGTGCGTGGCACTGCGCCTTATTTGTCGACCATGGGTTCAGAACGGCCAGGATCACACGTGGTAAGAGCCGCAGAGCTTTGAGTACAACTACCACCACTGGCCTCGCGGCACTGAAATTTTAGCACGATTCGTTACCAACTACAGTCGCTCTTTTACGAGTTGGTCCATCAGCTTCGTACCAACTACAGTCGCTCATTTACGAGTCGGTCCATCAGCAACAAGATACCCTCAGCATTTCTCGCCGTCTTAGTGGAATGACTCTTGATCCAATTACATTCTCAGCGTGGGTATACCTATCGTAACGATGCATTATATTCGCCTTTACACAGCCGTCTTGGCTGTGTTGACAGCTGTTCACGCCAGCTCAATCCCTCGACCTATCAGTTGTTCTAGTCTTCTAGAGGTAACAGTCAGTAGTGGTGTTCAGGTGTTGACATCTGTGGACGTCGCAGCTGGCGCCTTGAGTGTTCCGTCATATAGTGGTGGAACTATTCTCAACTCGTTTCCTCTTTGTCACCTATCAGGATCAATCAAGTACGGCGCCGACGGTCTTACACTTGCCGCCAATGGGGCCAATACTCTCACCTGGGAGCTTTATCTGCCTGTGACCGCGAATTACAATGGAAGATTCATGGTTGTCGGTATGTATCAATGATTCTTCCATATCAAATCTCATGAGGGACAAGTGACTTACATTACTAATAAGGCGATTCTGGGTACGCTGGATCTATCGACACAACGACAATGATGACGGAGTTCAACCTAGGATATGCAGTTGCTGGTAGTGACGGTGGCCATTCACTCGCAGAAACTGGGAACGCCACTTATGCCTCATTCATGACAGATGTTGCTCAACTCAAAGCCTGGATCCATAACTCTATCGCCATAACTACACCAACCGTTCGTGCTCTGGCAACTCTATATTATGCCGCGAGTCCGAAGTACAGCTACTACTACGGATGTTCAACCGGAGGAGCCCAAGGCTATGCAGTGGCATCGTTATATCCAGATCTTTTCGATGGTATCTACGCCGGAAGCCCAGGGAACTGGTACAGCCACTTGATACTCAGTTTCCTCTGGAACGCCCTGCACACCCAAGGGAATGGCTCCATGAGTCAAGACGCTTTAAACTTCATTACTACAAAAGTTTTGGCTGCCTGCGATGCGCTTGACGGTGTCAATGATAACCTCATCGAAAATCCTTCGGAGTGCAAATTCGACATCACGAGTCTCAAGTGCAAATCTGGCCAAAGCGCGACGAGCAGTGGTACGACGGTATGTTTGACCGCAGCCCAAGTTAAAGCAGCTGAAGCTGTGTATGCCGGTCCCAAAAACACCTTGACTGGAAAGGAGATCTACCCAGGATTTGCACTTGGCTCAGAGAAAGCGTGGCTGCTGCAAGAAACGACCTTGTATAAAGAGTTTTCCGAACTCATCTTGAAGGAAGTTGTCTTCAATGACTCCAACTACAACATCTCAACTTTCAACTTCGGCTCCGATGTCTCTAAGGCCGATTCCATTGCCTCGCCACTGATTGACTCGATAAACCCATCCCTCTCATCGTTCGAGGCCCGTGGAGGCAAATTGATCACAACCCAAGGCTGGGCGGACGCATACAATGCACCCACCTGGCCCATCGAATTCCTGGAACAGATCAACGCGGCACGTTTGACGGATGAGAATTCGGAATTCATTCAGGTGTACATGGTCCCTGGTGGTGGGCACTGTGGACCAACTTCTGCATATCCTCATGTCCCAGGGACGTACGACGTTCTTGATTCCCTGGTTCCATGGGTTGAGAAGGGCATTGTGCCAACACAGATGTTGAGCACAGGGGCAATAGATGGGACAAACGCCACACGGAAACTTTGTCCTTATCCGCAGAATGCCAAATATGTGAGAGGTAGCATAGACGACTGGACTTCTTACACTTGTGCATAGACAGACAAGTTGGGTGATCCGACGCCGCCCTTTGTACTTAATAGTCGGACTTGACGTCGCGCTAAAGGGGCCCTTCCCTTTAGTCGGGGAAAGCGAGTTGTCCCGGGAAAGCGAGTTGTCCCGCACCGATCCCAAAATTTTCCAATTTGTATGGAACACCCATAGTAAAAATCAATTATTTTGATCACCACTAGCCCAAATCACCCTGAAAATCAGTCAAATTCAATAGCAATGGCTCGCCTAAGTAACCTCCCCAATAATGCACTCCTCCGCGATATGCCAGAGAGAGATAAGCTCCGTGAAGCTATTTAATTCCTCAAGGCTAACCCAGAAGAGACTCCTGCGACTGCGGCACGCGCGTATTGCATACGAAATAAAGATACAGTAAAGAAAGCGTGGCAGAGAGAGAGGAAGAAGATAGGAATAGCGAGAGTATAATGGGGAGGCCAGAACAAGATCTTACGTCCTGATTAATACGAGGCATTGATTCAGTACGCGGTATCATACGCGATTAATGGAGGGAAAGGAGCTACAAAGCAAATGATATATAACTGTGCAATGTGGATGCAAACGGAGGATAATAAAATAGCTCTATCTTGGAAATAGTTCTCTCAATGGCTAAAGAGCACTCCAGAACTCCATACGATTAAGACGAAGCCTATTGCGAGCCACCGTATCGATCTCCATACCGAACAGAGCCTCCGCAATTAGTTTGAGACTGAATATCGTCCGGTATTAGAAGAAACTGGCATATGCCATGGGGATCGGATACATAATATGGACGAGAAAGGAGTACGAATTTGTATGCCTGCAGGAGAGGAAGTAGTGGTTCCAATTGGAATCAAGGAGATATATATAGGAATACCAGAAAATCGCATATCTCTTACGATAATTAAGTGCATATCTGCAGATGGCAAGGCAATTCCTCCGGTAGTAATTGTCCCTGGAATTATGATTATGGTTTCTTGGTTCCACGAAAATATGACCGGTCATGAGGTTATTACAGTCTCTCCCACAGGATATACGAACGAGGGCATTTATATGGTTTGGTTAGACCATTTTATTAAGCATAATAACTGCGGTCCTGATAAGGAATGGCATATTCTCTTGATTAACGGAGCAACTTGCCATTAAGCGGACGATTTTATCCTAAAAGCTACGTTTAATAAGATACGAATCGTCTAATTCCCCTCTTACCAAACCCACCTACTTTAATCATGCGATATTGGTGTTTTTAGGGAATGGAAACACTACTAACAGGTCAATATTATGAATGCAATTCGCTCGTACGAGCCGGAATATAACGTCCAGTGCTTCTTTCGCAATCTTCCTGGAATACGGGAGAAGACATTTACCGTTCGTACGATTAAATACGCCTTTCAGAACGCTAGAATTTGGCCTGTCAGTTTCAAAGCAGTACGGAGAAAGCTCAAGGAGTATGGTAAAAAGAGAAGGAAAGACACTGGCCTTTAATTTCTGGAGTTTGGATCTGAATCGGAAACTGAATCGGACGCAGAAAACGCAGAAAACGCACGATTTACCACGCCTGCTCCTGCTCCTGTTTACGAATACCAATTACCTACCCTTCCAAAACCTCCTTCTTCATATAACGAATGCGTTCTACGGCTCGATAATCTCAACGACAAGATTCTGGATGCTTTAAGCTCCTCCCCTCGCAAAGAGTATTCAGTCACGATTAAGGCTACCAAGAACCACCTAATGCTTGGAAGTTTACAAGAGCTGGATGCCCAGAATGCTCGCAAGGCACAGGTTAAACGTCATAAGGCTAAGCTAAACGCACGGCTTAGTTTCCAAAGGGGGGGGTGGTTAAATGCATCTGATGCTCTGGAAAAGAAGAAGATTAAAGTGAGGAATGCAGCAGAGGAGAAGCTAAAGAAGGCTAAAAGACAGCTCGCAAAGGCTAAATCAGCTGAAAAGGAAGCTCTCAAAAGAGTAGGAATCGCCGCACGAGCGGCAGAGAGAGAGGAAGAAGAGAGTGAGAGATCTGGAGGCACAAGCAAGGAAGCAAGTCCTTGGAACCGATACAATTATCCCTCCCGAGCTCCTAATACTAATTCGCGATCCCCAAACCGAACCTACGGAAAGCGAGCTTGAAGCCATTCGAATTAAGCACTAATCACTTTACGATAAGGTAGCTAAGGAGCAAGCTGAATTCGATCGTGTACAGGCCGAAGATCCCGTAATCTTTACCGATATCCCTATCGATCCTGCAATACTCGCATCTGAACAAGCTCACCGGGTAAAGGGGAACCCTCTTAGTCAATTATATATACGGGCAATATCAGAGGAGTCTAGGGGATCAGATAAGGAGGTAGAGGAGGCACGAGAGGGTATAAATGGTGGGGTTAGTGGGGAGGAGGTGGTTCTGTGTTCTTCACCACCTAGATCAGTAATATCGACTGATTCAATAGCTCAAAATGCAGATTTTATAGCATTAGAGTAATAAGAGATTATATCCTCAATTGCGTATTAATTTAAGGGTTATTTGGTTGTGTGGTACAATTCAAGTGTCTGCGATTGCATAGAAATTTTGGTGTGGTGCGGGACAACTCGCTTTCCCCGACTAAAGGGAAGGGCCCCTTTAGCGCGACGTCAAGTCCGACTATTAGTTCTTAATAGATAGATTTCATGCGTAGACATAAATCGCCACATTTGCTGCGTTACCTCTGGAGTGACTTTTACTAGGGTAGTTGGAGGAAGCTATAAAAATATAAGTATATACTTTATAATATACTAGCTTATAAGGGGCTTAGTATTCTAAATATCTTTATATATATTTCAAGTATATTTTCTTAGTAATATAGCTATATTATATATATAATTATATAACTTAAAAAATAATTAAAAGCAATAAATATAAGTAATAAAATATAAGTAATAAAATATAAGTAATAAAATATAAGTAATAAAATATAAGTAATAAAATATAAGTAATACTAGTTAAGTAATTAGATTAAAAGCTAAATTAGAATATTTATAATATTAATACTAGTATTAATATTAATTCGATATTAATTCTAAATAATAAATTTATATATAAAGGTACTCTCTTTTATAAGAGGAATTAAATAGCTAATAAGAAATAAGAAATATTAAAAAAGTCGACTTTTTTAAAGTTCTTAAAAAAATTATAAAAGTAATATTCTTAATTATAATATTATACTTACTTTTTTAACTAGTAAATTTCTAGTATTAATATAAATTAATACCAGAAATTAGATATTATTACTAAGTTTATATATAAATATTTATATTAAAACTATTTTAATTTAATATTATTTCATTATATATTTAGTATATTTTTAATATTACTTAATTAATTTATTATAATAATAATAAAGAGCTTATATTAAGTTAAAGGCTATTTACTAAATTATATATAATATAATTCTTATTATAAAATATTTAGTTATTTTCTTAATTAAATTAATTGACTTATAAGTTTAATAATAATACTAAAGTATTAATTAATTATTTTAAATTAAATTTTATAATAGTCGATTCGAATTAATATAGTATAATTCTTGCAATGCTTGACTAATACTATCTAGTATTAATAAGGTACTAATACCTTAATTATTATTGCTAAGACTATTGCTCCGGTTCAAAAGCGATATCTTAGCCTCTTGAATGTTCTTTCTTCGTCAAATACTTTTCCATTTCCTCATTTCAGGTACAACATTGCAATTACATTATTTCCGTGGTCTCAAATTCAACAGAAACAGGATAGCAGTGATTACCAGAGTCCAAGTACAGTCCTTTTCTGCCTTGGAAGAGGTGTTCCAAAATAGCGTTCCTCCTTGAAAAGTCGTAACACATGCTGGCCAGCCTTCGTAGCTCTCAATTCCTGCTGAAAAGCTCTCGCTTGGGAAGACCAGCCATTAGACGGAAATTCATGGAGTTGATAACCTTCTTCATGAGTAATGCCAAGAACGATAAATGACTAATTCAGTATTGAGCAGTGATATAGTAGCATGACATTAGATGAATACTTACAAGAGCTGCAAATGTAATATCAGCCGCGCTCAAGCAGTCTCCAGCCAGATACTTTGAGGTCTCAAGTACTAAATTTGGTTAGCCCGGTAGTGGATTTCTATCTTATGTTCAAAATTAAAAGTCGAAGAAGACAATCCTTACATTTTGATGCATGTTTGAACTCTTCGCGGCAAGTTTCCATCGCGTTCTGATATCTCTCAAGTCTTATGTCCAGCACACCCGTTATCATCCTCCCCAGGAGTGGCGAAAGCAAAAACCAGATCAACGATTGCAATATCCCTACTCTATTTTTGAACCCAACCAGGGCAAAGGGAAGCATCGCACGCCATTTATTAACTACCAAAACATCGAGGTAGAAGATATCGCGAACAGCGACACCAAGACCTTGATCGTAACGTTTCTCGAGGGTATAAATCTCCTCTTCCTTTTCTGGGCCGCAGGAGGTATAAAGGTTCACATGCTCGGGACTCGAGAATTTCTCGGAGAGGTAGACTAGGATGTCATGCGAGTCGTGGACTGATTCTCGGAGGTTCGTTCTAGAAGCATTGTAGATCGCGAGACAGGGAGTTGAGAAGGGGGAGGATCTTGTATCTCTTGGCTCGCGGTTGCAGACTCCCTGTTCCACGATTGGCTTGGTGGTTAAAATGTGGAGCCATGGTAAGAGGAGGTGATGTGTGTATGGGACGCCATAGTAGGCAAATGCCCAGCGACCCTTTTCGTTGAAATGGGAGAAGGCGATGGAGAGGAGGAGGTAGACCTGAGAACCTTCTTTTGGTGGAATCTTGGCCATGATTGAAGGCATAAGGAGAACCTCATAGCTTAGGGACAATGCTTTCAGATAAATAGATCAGATATGGCATAGCGGGTGGAAGACTCGCCGTCTTATGCCACTTGTCGAGTAAAGCACCAACCAGAGAGAAACGGCGACGCACTTTTCATTTCTGCCGGCTGCAGTCATAGCCGAGGCTCATTCTGATTTCTTTTCACATGACGTCCGTCAATGAATTCACAGCATTTGTTTCTCATGAAACATAGCACATTTTTCTGAGGCTGATAACGAGGCTCTGAGATCGTGGAACGTGTTGAGAGGGTAAGCTTTGTTGACCCTATATTTAGCGAGGCTAACCCACGCCCGCATTCAACAACTGGACATGGCTTGTGGGTAGGTCCCGATTTTTTTTATTTTTTGGAGATGATGACTTTTGAAGTCTTATTATTGTAAATGGGATAATTTCCAAATGGAACCTCAAGAACTTCACTTTTCGCTTCCAGACTGAACAGTCCCGCATTCAAGTGGCCATTCCGTCCTACAAATTGGTAAGGTGCCCAATAACCAACCCCATGCCCCGTTGTGCTTCGGTGACAGATTAGGGAAGAAGCGAATCGCTTGTCACACGAGAATTTTGTTCTTCTCACCATCACCCTTCACCTTCTCTCTTTCACAAATGTTCATCCGGAGAAAAATCGCACCAAAATAGAATCCAGCCCTCAGATTCTTGCCATACTGCTACGTCCAGCTCGGTCTCGCGATTCTAACGATCCGCAAGGAGCGAAGCCCCCAGTTCTGCCGCGAACATGTCTCAGCCATCATTTTACGTCCTCTCGGATGGGCAAAGGAAACAATATTCCTCACACGATACATCTCGGGCTGGCTTCCATCACCAAGACCTGGCCACTTTCTGCGAGGATGTAAACAGCGTAAGCTTTTCCTCACTCCCAGAACCCTTGTGAGTTGGGTCTGACTCTCATCAGGCTGCGAAGAGGGCTTTCCCAAACAGAGGACGATCACGATATGAAACAGTCGACGCCTGTCTCATACGCTGGGAAGATGATGAGCTAGGCGTTCAACAAGAACTCGATGCTCTTAATGATGTGTTACAAGGCTACGGATTCCTAACAAATGTATTTCTTATTCCGAAGCTGAATTCGCATTGGGATTTGATGCGAAAGACTCTCGATTTCATCCAGGATTGGGACAATGACAAAAACCTCTTTGTCCTATATTACGCTGGGCATGGAAGGATAAATAGCGCTCGACAGGCGGAGTGGGTGTTCGGCCAAGACCTCAATTCTCCCTTCGTGGACTGGTCGGTAATCCAGGGTCTTTTCGGGACCGCAAAATCGGACGTTTTGATTCTGCTAGACACCTGTGCTGCCGCGAGCTCAGCAAGAACAACTCAATTTGCTGTAATGGAGACCATCGCTGCTTGTGGGTTTGAGAGAAGAGCACGCCCCCTGGAGAGTACTCTATGACATACACTCTTGTTGATGTTCTTCGGGATTGGATCAACAAGCCATCTTTCTCGGCAGCATCCTTACACACCGAGATACTCTTTCGACTCAAGCTCAAGGAAAAGAAGAAGAGACGTGACGGAGTACCACTGGAATGGTGTATGACGCCTATTCACTGGATAAATGCAAAGGACTGCAAGGCAGTCGGAATCAAGATCTGTAGACGAAATGTACGGCCCCTCCCCTCGACAACTTCAGATTCGTCATCAGAAGAAGAACAGCCGTCAACATTCGTTGATGCGATGGACATAGACTTTGATGACGCAAATTCATCTTTAACTCCATTATCGTCCGTCTCTTCTACAGGATGTTGCAAGGTCCCACATGTCCTGATTACACTTCAGTTGGATGAAAATCAGTCTTTAGATACTGGACAGACGGCTCGGTGGCTGGATAGGTTGCCATTACTAGCGAAATGGGCCAAAGTCGAGGCTGTCTTTCCTAGCTATTCAACTTTGATCATAATGTCGGTGCCTCTTCCGATATGGGATATGCTGCCGGATCATCCTGCCTGTTCATTCATTGAATACGTCAATGGGCCAAGTGTTGGTTGCCCATCGAGGTCTGAGGCAAAACCCTCGGCGTTATCGTTGTCAACTCCCATGGAAGGAGACAATACGACGAGCTTCGATAGTCCAGGGACTCGTCAACTATCTATAAAGAGGATCGAATCCTCCACATTGATAGGTCAATGCTCGAAACCAGAGACACCACCGGCCGATATTGGCTCTTCGTCAAGCATCAAAGTTCCAAGAGATACCATGCGGGAGCGCGCAGCACGAGAAGGTACGCGCAAAGCAGACCAGGAGCGGAAGGAGGCATTGGAGGGGATCAGAGAGGAAGAATCATTCTCTTCAGTCCAAAGGCAGCGTAACGAAACTATGTGGCACTCCCTTGGAAAAGGTCGCTTTGCTACCAGAGTTCTCTATCAACCCAGGTAGGAATACGACGACAGTGACACCAACCGTAAAGGAACGTAAACTGAGACGTCCTCACACGCCAAGTTCAGTTTCCATGTTTACTCCCAGTTCATATCCGGATCCCAAACCGCAGAATAATGACTCCCATGGATCTCCGCTCAAAGGGCCTTCAGGCTTTGCATTCGGTGATGTTCCGATCCCGAAGCCAGTCCAGAACTCCCAGCAGCTAAGGGTAGGGGATGTGGTTAGAGTGCGTACGTTCTATTTCACTCGGTTCTGGAATATGGGACAAAGTGATTATGAAGAGATGGCAAATGCACTTTTGAAGCTAGAAGAACTAAAAGAGCTAACACACCGATCCGACTTAGCTATGTGGCTACCGCTAATTACAGCTGAGAAAAAAAAACTTGACTCTCGTGAGTCTGCTCTGACGGCAGGTAAAAAGAACATGAAATCGCCTGAGTACAGTGGTAACGAGATAATTCTCTAGCACGCATCGGTTTCGCGGCCGAAATTCTTCGTATAATTATTACACCCACCTTGCAGCAAAAACACGTACTTCCAAAGTCTGGTCTTAATGTGAAAAGGCTAGAGGAAGTGACGATGGAGGCAATGGCTAATTGGTTTAATGACGAAGAGCACCCCGAAAATGCTGAAGAGAAACTCATCGTGGAGGAAATATTCAAGGTCGCAAGAGCGGAGGAAAGATGCAGACATGGAGAACTGGGTATGCAAACCCTGGCCGAAGACTTGCCAGCAAGCTGACTGTGTTTTCCAGACCCAAGCACAATCGTTCTTACTATGTCACCAGAGGCACACCCAAACTGCCCAATTTCTGACCCTTTGTCTGATCGTGAAATAGGAGTGAAAGATGAGATTCTGCCTAGTTATTCCGTTCAAACCAGGCTCGGCAAAAATACCTAAATTTCCGGTATCGATACGTATCGATGCCAGACTCGTAAGGTATCGATAGTATCGATAGTAGTATTGATTCCCTGAACCTAATTTTCCCCTTTAATTACAATTAACTTTCGAACTACTTCTCTTATAAGAAAACTTTTGGTAGCGCAAATATTCTCCTTAATTTAGGCTTTCCATCTAGCTACTTATCTTATACTTTAGGCTAAAACTAATCTCAATGCGGCTATTTTAAGTAAAAATGAGCTTTTGAGATTTTCGTAAGGCTCGCTTATATATTTAGTGCCTTGATAAGAAATATGAATACGGGGCTTAATTTTCCGAATATGAGAGGTATTTTAAATTTAAGATATTATTAAATTTTATTAATAATAGTAAATAAATTTTTTAATAGAAAGACTAGAAATTAAAGGAATTATATATGAATATGTGATAATTTTTAGGGGTAAGAATTAATAAGGTATTAATACGTATCGATTCTTACGATACCTGAAAAATACCTAATACTATTAATACCGGTATCGATGCCTCAGGTATTTTTGCCGAGCCTGGTTCAAACCATAGCTCCTCTGCCGCCAAAGCCAGTGGAGGTTCTAATTGCAGTCCGTAAGTGACCTTTTTATTGATATGTTGTATGCGTTTGATTGTATCGACAGAAAAAGGGAGTGATCCCTAAGTTAAATATTTAATTGTTTTGTAAGCGAGAGGAAGGCAGTTAGTTACTTATTGGATATAGATGATTTCTTGGCACGAAGCTCCGACGAATTGACCTTATCGAAAGGGGATCTCATCGAGCTGATTGAAAGGGATGATAACTTTGGCGACAGATGGTACTTGGGACGAAGTTTAAAAAATGGAATTAGTGGTCTTTTCCCGGAAGGTTGGTGCCCAATAAGTCTTCTTTCTAAGTTTGTATACTGAAACTTGGCAGTATATACGAGGTCTACGACCCGCGAGCCCCCTTCATACCAACCAAAGCTCAACCGCGAACCGATATTGCAGGAATCACCTATAAAAAAGGCCACCCCAGAATCCGGTCAGGCAGCAACTAACTAGCTTGGCAATGGACAGACATGAGCATGGCAAAAGACAGAGAATGCATTTTAGGGCTTAGAAGGAAGAAAACTTGGCCGTGTTAATGAAACTTTCCCTTCATTCGAGGTGTTTCTTCTCCAAATTATAGTTGCCCAATGGATACAATTCAATACTTATCTTGACATATTCTCCACATGTGGCCTCAGAAATGCTGGCACCACATGCAAAACATCCCCGGACCCATGTTTGACTCGATCAAAAACACCCAGCCTCGAAGTGATCCCATTCTCTTGCAGCTGCAGTTCCTTCAATGCATCCAATCTTCCTATTCTTGGTCTTCCTAGCTCTGAATTATTCTGCATCGACGAAATCCCTTTCTCTTTTGCAAACTCTTCCTTCTTGCCCCTCTAACTATTTCCAAAACTCATCGCCTCCATGAATCTTCACCGTCAACAACAAACTGTATCGCCAATTCCTAATGAGCTCTGCTACCGCAATTACTTGGAGGCTGAGATCTGGATTCAGGTGCTCGGGTGGCATGTAGAGGGAATATGAGATCCGAGGGTCGGCTTTGAGTGCTTTGAAAGGGGTATTGCCAACAAACATAGCACCTTTCAAGTGCTGATGTGTGACATTAGCTGTGGATATGAAGCGGGGGAGGTCAATGATGATATACTCTCCCCTCTCGGATGTAAGATAGTAAGATTCAAGTAAATGAATGATTTCAAAAAGGGTAGAATAAATTCGCAATTAGTAATGAATATCGAGATGTCAGTGGACTTCCACGGAATAAAGCGTGTTACACAGATCGCGGCATAGAGTGACGGGATTACAGGGCATTTGTGTTTCCAGTCTACTATTTGCGCTGCTTCTACGAGAATTAAATACTAAATACCTCTATATTTTGGGCCATTACTATAAAGTTCGCTATAAGCCACAAGTAAGGGGTATTACTTTTTAAGGCATATTCTCTATAATTATCGGGGCAGGTCCGCGAAGGAGCCCCATGGCTACTCCTATTGCAGCATCCGAGCGCTATAATTATCCCGCTAGCGACACTATACCCTTAAAGATCTTTCCAAAACCTTATTAATATCTCATAGCTTGAATTCAGGGCATAAGGCATATTGTTGCAGGGCTTATAGTGGGCTCGACCTCTCGACTTACATATTGCTGTGCCCTGAGAACCCTGAAAGTGCCGAAATGCCTTGTAATCCCGCAACTTTATGCGGCATAAGCTTAACCAATTTTGGTTTAGTGTCTCGCCGAAGTGAAGTAGATCTTTCACTCGGGATCATCTTATATTTTGATCATTTATATTCAAGAGGATATTGGTATCTTCGAATTCGACGAGGCTGGGGTGAAACGGGGATAAGAGGTCAGAAGTCAGGGCGGGATTATATGGGCAATGCCCGGTGTTCGGGCGCCACTTGGCGGCCTCGGCTCCTGAGACGGCAATTCAACCTCCAACCTCAAATCTCCCCAAGACTTCCACCTACGTGCCTGTACAACACATTCGTACATTTGACAGCAGGTCGTCCCTAACTATTTGGCAGGCATGGCATCAGAAGGCATAAAACTGTCTCTGTCAGAGAAGGTGGGGGGCTTCTGGATTCTGTGGGTTACCGGTATGTGATATCGATGCCTTCAGGCAGAAGACGCAATCACTGACATACCAGCAGCATTCTGGGCAGCATATACAGCTCTTCGGCATCTAGTTCTACCCCCGTCAGATTCCCCAGGTGTAGCACGAAGTGTATACGCTCTAGTCCTGAGAAATGTCATGATTCTCTCCCCACGACAACGAAAGTGAGTCAGATCCTTCCGCTAAGCCTATTCCTCGCTCATGCAACCCAGGGGCATGCTCGGAGAAGATAAAACAGGCGAAGTAATTAAGACGTACTGCACACAGCACAGTCTCAAGCACGTGGTCTACCCCCTACCAAAAGGAGCAAAGCTGCATTGGGTTGGCACTCAACCATCGAATGGCTGCAAGGCCATCCTTTACTTCCATGGCGGGGGCTATAATATCGCCATAAACCCTGGCCATCTATCCTTTTCCTTAAAATGTGCTGCGAATGCAAAAGCTTCACTGGCTTTACTCGAATACACACTCGCACCGGCCGAGCATTATCCAACGCAACTCCATCAAGCAATTGAAGCACTCCGGAAAGTATTAACGATCACACCTCCGTCCCGCATTACCATTGGCGGGGACTCAGCAGGCGGCCATCTTTCAGTGGGTCTGCTTTCACATCTCATGCATCCCACAACGGACATCGAACCCATCACACTCTCTGAGAAATTGGCTGGAATATGCCTTATCTGCCCCTTCCTGAGTTTCGATTTTGAGAAGAGGAGTTATGTTTACAACGCCAAAAGGGACTACCTCCAACTCGCACATATAGAAGAGTTCAACGGTAACTTCAAACCTGAGGGGTTGTCAGATGTGGATGCAATCAAAGATCCGGCGCTGTCTCCGCTTGATGCTCCAAAAGGGTGGTGGAAGCGTGCGCCGGTAGAGAGAATTCTGTTGACTGCCGGGGTTTGGGAAGTGTTTCTAGACGACATTGTTGCATTCTCTGGGAGATTGAAGGAAGAGGCTGAGCCGGGAACGAAGGTTGATTTTGTCATTGGAGCAAAAGAGGTTCATGCTGCTTGTATTGTGGATATTGCGATTGGGTTGGAGGAGGGTGACTCTGCAAAAGCAATTTTGGCCTGGATGAGCAATGATAACTAGAACATTTGAAAAAATGTACAAAGGCACTTTATGATCTTAAAGTAGAGGACCAGTAGTCGAAATTAGCCCATCCCATGCAGCCCACAAACTCCGACAAACCATGTCCCAGGGAGTAAGCAATCTGGTACCGCACTCTCCCTATCAAGCGCCCCTTCTCAAATCAAGGCCACCACAGCTTCAAAGCAGCCCGAATCTCACCACCTAGCGAACTCAGCCGCAAGCCCCACGCCAGGCCACAAAAAATACAGCGCATCAATAGCTTTGCACAAGCACCAATCAACTCTACACCACTAACAATAAGCAACCATCTCTTCAAACTCGCCACCTCGCGCAGCGGCTCCACCTAAATGTAAAAGCAAGAAGTCAGGAAAGGCTTACATGTCCAATCCAAACAACGAGTCGTCGCCCGGGGTGCCTCCGTACCAAGTGAAGTCCTTGTTGCTTACTGGGTCTTCGGCGACTTTGCGCCGCTCGATGAAGATGACTTTCACTTTCCTCCTCTCTTCTCCGTCCATGTCTTGTTGCAATTCGGTGTTGAACGCGGCTTCCAATTCCCCACAAAACCTGATCTTCTCTTCCCGCTCAACGTCCTCATCCTCAACTTCAATCTCCACCCATCTCAACTGCCTCATGTTCAATAACCCCTCTTTCACCCACCCAGCCTTGACATCCAGCACCCCGCTCGCTTTCTCCTCCCCCTCATCTCCAGCTTGACCGTGCTCGCCATTCCACCCTCCACTCCCATCAACCAACCTACCCTTCTCACCCCCCACAGCGCCCTTGAGCCCCAACCTCAGCCCCCAGGCCCCCTTCCACAGCGAGCAAAGCTCCCACCACTCTCCGCGTTCCGCAACGCCTACTGACGCGCCAATCTTCCCCGTGCCATCAACCTTCAGATCCCTGCCAAGGACCTCAACACCCACATACCGCATCCCATCACTCTGCCACGGGCGCAGACTCCTCGTGAACTGCCGGGCCGCATAAACACCGCTCCAGAACCAATTGATGAACGTAAACGTATTCCGCTCCCACGGCACCATCTTGCATTCCCCGTACACCTGTTTGCAAGACACAAGTAACGCGGTCGGGATCTTGCCCTGCACCCTGGTTTGGCGCGGTGAGGTGAGGCTCGTGGGGGCGGAGATGGGGTAGAGCGCGTTTATTTCCTGCGCGGAGGAGGACGAGGGCGCGAGGCGCGTGATGAGCGTCCTGACCTCCGTCTCCCGCTCTCGTTCACCGTTTGACGTAGGGGCGAGGCGCGTGGTGTGGAATTCCTCCGTGCTCATTCCGGAGAAGGTCGTTGGTGGATCGAGAGGAGCGAGGTGGGCGTGGTGGACTGGGTGGGCGAGGAGGACGTAGGAGTAGATCTGGAGGCGGAGTTCCAAGGGGATGGTTAAGAATGGTGATTTTGAAGTTGAGCCGGGGAGGGCGGGGATAGGAGAAAGCGGTGTGATGGGAGAGGTGATGTCGGGCATTGAGACGGCTGTTGGGTTTGGTGGTGTTGGGAAGTAGGGGAAGCCGAAGTTTGGGGGCGAGGTGGGGATGCGTGGTGGTTGTGCTGGGTTGGAGCGGGAGGTATAGCGGGGCGGAAATGTAAAGTCTGGGGGCATTCTGGCTGAGGTGGTTATTGAAGCCACTGTGAGATGTGATGGCTTTTTGATAGATATCGAAAGACGCGAAACCTGGGAAAGGGGTCCAGGAGGTCACGTGGCCGATCGGGATGTTCGGACGAAACAGATCGAAAATTAATCAATCAACTTTCAAATCAATAAACAGGAAATGCACATAGATAACTTTGCAATAGAGGAAACAAGGAGAGAGAAAGGCGGGACAGTGTGTCAGATGTTTTTATGCTCAGCTTACTGCCAGTGCTGACTGTTGCGGTCGGCCAATCTAGCCACTTTCAGCCGCACTCAAACCAAGCCAAGATCTGACCTGAGGTCAGCTCCTCATAGAAATTGCCCAATTGCAGTTAACCCCGCTCAAACTTTGCCGTCTCCAGTCTCAGTCCCAAGGAGCCACGATCAGTAAATGGCTGGTGTGGCTGCATTTTTTGGCGTCTCTGATTGATGAACTTTAATAGCCCTTTGGGTGGTGTTTCCCGGCAGCGGGGTATCCCTTGCCAATGTGGCAGACCTTCGGTGATCTCCGCAGCAGAAGGCATGAGCCAGAACAGGTAACATTTCCTTCGTGGGGGTCAACTCAGTCATCGGGCCAGGCGCAGATGGGGTGTTAGTGCCAGCTGAGAAGACATGTACTGTGCGTGATATCTGACCCAACTATTCCTTTTTCGACCAGTAATCAATCGACTCTGCTGGGTTGGCTAAGGGTTGGCTGACTGTGCTGATCGGAAGTTGGACTGACTCTACATTCCATGTATTTTGGTGGCTTCAAAACCCGGCCATAAGCCTGACATCCAATCACCGGCGTACGGGCCCCAAATCAGCCCCACTCGTCGCGAACCTCAGTATATCTTCAACGGTCCGAGCCTTGCCGTTGGGATCCTTCTTGACCTCGCTCATGCCGAACTCTACTTGTCCCATGCTTGATCGCCGTGCACTTGTGACCTGAACTCCAGCATCCTCCATTTCCTCGTCTTCGTCCTCGTCCTCGTCCTCTTCTTCACTTTCAGATTCCTCCAACTTCCTCCTCAGCCCGGTCCTGACGTTCTCAATGCCCATCTCCCTCTCAGCAACCGTGTAGTTATCTCCCGCCTCTTCCTGGGCATAGCTGGATATCCGCTCGCTGCTCCAGTCCTTGGCCCAGCTCAACAGCGCCGCTTCTGTGTCCCCGGCATTGAGGTCGGCTTGGATATCACGTCCCTCCTCCACCCACGTCTCCACGTGGGGCTCCAGCTTCTTCCGCAGCAGCTGCACCAGCCAACCCTCTTGTGTGCGGCCGGGGTAGTTGGTGGACGGGTAGACAACCGTCTTGCTGAGGAGTTCGGCGTGGTTGTTGAGGTGGGCGGTAAGGGCGACCACGTTGCTGGCAAGGATTGAGGCAGAGTTTTGGAGTGACGACCTGCATGAACACGCCGCATTAGCATTGGTGATACGCACGGGAGATGGGTGAGACCGCAAGTGCCGACGGACCATTGCGGGAGAGGACTGCTTCGCAGGACGTCGCCCTTGAGGGATGCGATGCTGTTGGAGAGCTGGTAGAGCCGCTGCCGTGCCTGCTCGAGGGCCTTGAGATCCTCCTGGCTCAGCGTCGCCTGCGCCATGGTTGCGCCGATCACAGCTCGTGAATGCGGGCTGGCGGGACAGAGGGGGGAGAGGTTGTGGTCTTGGCGGTGTGATGCGGGGGTTAGCGGTGTGATGTTTGATGTTTGGTGTTTTGGTGCCTGGTTTCTGGTGTCTGGCGTCTGGCCTGGTGTCTGGCGTCCGATGTGAGATGTCTGATGTTTGAAGAGGAAACGGGATGATATTTTTGGAGCGTGAGCTTCAAGGCAGTGCATTGCATGGTCGCGTGGAATTTAAGGTTGCTGGCCAGGGCGGGCTGGTCGCGGCCGCGGCCCGAGCCCAGGCATCCCCCAACCTCCCGTTTTACGTTTTACGTGCAACTATTCACAACGACACTCCCTTTCCCCAACTTCCCCAATACACACACTCTCACTCACACGCGCACACACACGCACTCACATCACTGTCCTTCTCATGGAAGAACCAGTGCGCTGGGCCCATTGCTTTTGCCATCCCCTCAAGTCGAGGGGTCCACTGCCCGCTTTGAGCTGTGCCCGGGGGTATCAAGCCGCCAAGTTGCTGTGATAGGCCCTGGGTGGCGCAGCAAGTCACAAAGTGATAGATGGGCCTGGCGTCCACAGGTCCACACGACGCCACGCCGACGCCCTCCCCCTTTCCTTGGAACTCGACGGTCCTGTTGCTGCCCTGCCCTCCAAATAGCGCTCTTTTCCTGCTCCGCTTCTCCAGTCTCACTCGCGGGGGGAACAGCTTCCCAGCTTCCGGCGTGTTTGGCCCCCATCCCATCTCCCATCCATGTCCCATCATGTCCCATGTCCCGGTTCGCTCCCTGTTCTGGTGGTTCGTTCCCAGTCTCTCTACCGCGCTCAGGGCGCCATCCGCTGCGAGTGCCTGCGGTCGTCCAGTGCCTCCGAACCCCCGAACAACCTCTCAAATCTTTGGCTGCTCACTGCCCGCGCTTGATCTCGAACCAGACCCATCCTATTCCCTTGTGTTACCTCTGCCGCGGCTTGGACTCAGTTACCCGTTGCTGTCACATCCTCGTCCCTGCAGAAGCTCCCGGGAGATGCGTGATGGAGGTATTTGGGCTCGGTCGACCTGCAGCAAATACCGATGTGACCCTCTGTTGCCGATCTCTCGGACGCTTTCTTCAGCGGCTAGCACACTGGATACTACCCAATGCAGCAAGACTGCAGGTTCTTCACAATATTCTGTCAGTCTGAGAAGTGATATCTCTCTGCACAGCACAGAGACGAGGACACCAACACCGCAGGCAAGCTGGGCGCAAGCAAGCAGGCAAGCAAGCAGGCAAGCAAGCAAGGCTGTCCTAACGCCCTCATGGCAATCTCCCCCATCTCACCGCCAAATAGGGCCGGATAGGCTTTTCAAGCTCTTCTGGGCGTGAAGTCGCGACCGACCCGAGTCATTCGAGTGGCGCTAAACTGCCCTCGAAACGGCGTACATCGGCCTCACATACCGGCTTGAGATCCCGGAGCCAGGGCCTGCTGCGGGATCGAAAGTGCTTCCGCGGATGCATATCACGAGGCAGATCTTTGGAATTCCCGCTTCACTTCGGCGGCGGCGGCGGCGCACTCTCGTCCTGGAAATTCAAGTCCATGTTGGCGGACTCCTTATGTTGGTCCTGGGTGTCTATATATGGACGTTCGTCACTTTTCTTTGGCTGCCACGTGTCGTGCCGCAATATACATCACCGGAGAATAATATCTTACTTAATACGTCCTTGCTATTTATTCTTGCTAATACATGACAAAACTGCAGCCTTCATCCCTCACCGTCGTCTCACCGAGTCGCGTGCTACCAGCTCCGCCTCCACTTGCTTCTTCGATCCTCAGTACCGTGTGCTAGTTGGCTGCCGGTGTTCAGTTCGCTCGGCGGCTTGAAGATGGTCGAGAGGAGTGAATTCTCCTCGATCTTTTGTCAAACTTCCTGCAGCCGTGGTTTGGAGTGTGAATTGAAGTCGATACAATGCAGTCCTCAATCTATAATACTTCCTCCCCGTCACCTCGCCACCACTCATCTCCAACCACCAGAAGATCCAGACCTCAACAGTCAAGATCTCGTACAGCATCACGGGGAGAGTCAATTCCAACATCCTCGGACGTAGTATCAAACCCGTTCCTTCGACGAAAGATGGCAAATGACGAAGTCCCCAACGGATCGAATGGGAGGGAGGTTTCTAACGGAACCAAGTCATCGAGCTCTGAAGTCGACAAGATTCAGCGCAACAGCCTTTACATCACGTTCAACGCTCCACAGGTTGACGACTACGTATGTAATCTCACCTAATTGATTTCTGTTACACAGTTTCCCTTTCTTCAACAGTGGGGGAGGTTCCCTCGAACAGAGAGGTTACCTTCTCCCCTTCACCTTCACCTACATTGCCACATTTTCTCCACTTTGCTAACGTTCACCAGCACCGCGGTCTCTTCCTCACTCACCCGCCACTCCACACCCTCACTGAGTCAGACACCTCCTTCAACTTCAGCGGAACCCTCTTCCACGCCGCCTATGCGTCCTCAACCTGGAACCTCGACCAACGTCCCGTCCGCGACGTCTCCACCTCTCACTCACTGGTCCTCCTCTACCGCCTCGGCACCCTAGACCCCTCGCTCGCACCCATCGCGGACCAATTCTCCCGCATCCGAGCAATCCTGGCGTCGGTACCGCTGGGGAAGGAAGCCAGGGAGAGGGAGCTGGGCCCGAAGAAGGGGAATGCAGTCTTGGGTGGTTATGACTGCGTTATCTGGACGACAGATGCGGTTGCCGCGCTTCTGAGGGAAGGGGTTGTGGATTTTGGGGGTCGGAGTGTTGGTATGGCCCCCGTTTGCCTTTCTCTCACGTCCCCATCCCCACGCATTCCTGCACTCATATCTGCACAAATTCTGAGAAACACCTTTTGCAGACGAAGTCATAGCCGAAGCACGCTCCCTCGCCGGCCCTGCCGACGCAAAATCCATGGTCGGCGTCGACTTCGGCGGCCTCAGGGTCGTCAATTAACTGCTCCCTTCCCCCTCGTCCCCCCTTTGCTTATGTTTCCATGAGACTCGGGACTTGAATTTACGTTTCCTCAAACTGAGCTGGGAATTGGGTTAATTGCCGGCATGCAAACACCGTTTAGAGTGCGATGACATTTGAGTGCATGCATGCATAGCGGGCGGTGCGCTTCACTTCCTTCCTTGAATGTCGTTTCGGGACAGGCTTTCTGATTTTACAAAACACACACACAGACCAGACTGTACTTCTGCCCCCCTTCTCCTTTTCCTTTTCCTTTTCCGTTTCCCTTTTACCTTCCTTTTCCTATTGCGCTTGGGGAAGTTTTCACTGCGAACGGCAGCATGGATTGGAAGGCATGGAAATTTCTTGCTGTGTCAGTCAGATCGAGGGAGCGTTGCTTTGGCGTGGCGTTTAGCAATTACAATGGGTGGGGGGATTCACAATCCACTGCGTTCGTTGCCACTTCCCACACCAAATCCCTCCTTCTCTTCTCCCCCCTCTCTTCCGGATTTTTCTCATCCACTTTTTTCCCCCTTCCGACGTACAGCACAGAGTGAGGAAGGAAACCGGCCGAGTTTCGACGAAACCAGCGAACTGCAGCACTCACTCCTCCAGAGCACAGCCCCGAGCCCCGCCTGCCTGCCATCCCTCCCTTCCAACGGCCCCCTCGTATCGCCACCCCTTGCCCCGAGACCGCACATGCCCAGAAGCTCGACCGAGTGATGTCACGCAGGGCTGAGCCGGGTCCGCTGCCACGCGGAAAAGGTTTTTTCTGGAAGGTTTGCCCCCCCTCCCCAAGCCAAGGGAGGGCCCGTTTTCCGTGTCGGTGCGGAAAAGGTGGGGTTGCGTTGAAACTCTCTTTTTTTTTCGTTTGGCGGCAAGGGGCCGCCCGTTCGTCGCGTGCTGGAGTTGATGGGCGCGGGGAGCCCGGGAGCAGCCCGGGCCAGTGCTTGGCCCCCTGGCGCTGGGCACCGCGCTGCGTGGCCGGCTGGGGTCTGCTGCGGGAGCGTGCGAATGCGGCAAGAGCGGGGCGCTGTGACCACACCTACGGGTCGGGTCGACTCGGCGGGCGAGGCAGTGTGCTATATATCTACTGTGATATATGGAGCCTTGGCGGTGGGAAGCAGTGGGATGGGATAGGATGGGATAGGATGGGATGGGATGGGATGGGATCTGGGTTCCTTTCTTCCTTGCAGCAGTGACTGGTCAGGTGAGTTGTATCCGCTATCTCAATCCCCAGCTATAACAACCAACTCCCCTATCTGCCTCTATTAATTCCGTTCCACTGGCTGTCATGGAATCCCAAGAGCTGCGAGAGTGCTGAGGAAGAAAGTCGGCTGTCGTCAGTGGCGGTGGCGGGGTTGTAGGTTTCTTCTTTCCTTTATGAATGGGTGTTGGGATTGGAGGCGAGGGGGGGCGAGGAGTGCTGGATAAGCAAAGGGACCGACCGACCGACAGAACCGACGGGGCTGAAGAAGAAGAAGGGAACGAAGAAGGTTGGCTGCATGAATGCATGCGTGCCGGGCGGGAATCGTGTTACCGGATTCACTTTCTTCTGCATTGCAGTCGTGCCCTTGACTCGGGTTCTGCTTACTGTAGATTTTGCCGGGGGGTGGGCCCCTTTGGGAAAAGTGGGGAGGGTGTTGATGGGATGATTTTTGGCAACGAGCGGTAGACGGACTGGACTTGGATTATTACGCGGAGACATTTATCCGAGGGGGAAATGGATAAGTTACTTTGCCTATTTGTTTTCCTGTTTTGTTTCAAAGTTTGAATTTGATTCTTTTTGCAGCGAGTTTTGTGCTGGGAGTGTCTAGGCTGTTACACGGCCTCTCTCCATCATCCGGATTCCTCAGTTGAGCTCTCTCTGCATCTCACTTACTCCCCTCGCAGAGAGATCGGATTCCGTCCCGGGATATGTATGTACCATCCCTAACCGCCTCAAGCCATGATACCGAGCTCCCAAGCCTATCAGAGCCACAGAACCTGCCGCATGTCTCGTTGACTTGTCCTCGCGCCCGCTCCCAACATTCAACCCAGCGCCGGCCCACCCCGTCCCCCATTCCAAGCCTCAACCCCACAGCCCCCCTGATCACCCTCCAAAAACAACCGTTCCACCTCCCACAGTCCCTCAAGAACCCTGTCCAGGTGTCCCTGCCTCAGCTGCAGCAAATCCACACCTTCCATCTCTCTCCTCAGAGTCTTCCATAGTGCTAGTGCTTCGCGCGGTAAGCTGTGGTTCACGTCCTGCATCGAGGTGAAGTGGTACGGGTGGTCTCTGACTGGCAGCTGATGGCAGCGGGGACACCTGATGCGCGTGTAGAAGGTTGAGAGAGTTTGGTTCTTCATGGCCAGGTAGAGGGTGTGGAGGCGCATGTAGAGTTGTTGTCTGTGCAGGTAGATTGTTGAGGGTGGGGGGTAGGCGTGTGGGAAGAAGGGGTGCTGGATTTGTCGCTGGAGGTCGAGGAGGGGCTTGATGCTCCAGCTGTAGGCTGGCATGTGCAGTTGCTCTTGCCATTTGGTGACGTCAATGGTGATGTCAGTGGGGGTCTTGGTATGTGGCAGAGGCAGGTTGTGAGGGTTTGACATCTTGTGGTGAGTTGCTGTTGTCACCGAGGCAGAGTCGGAAGGGAGAAGGAACATTTTCAGAAATGATGACGTTGAGGTTGATTGAAGATCGATCCATTTTGTGGAAAACTAATCTTTATATTGTGTCCAGCTGGGATAACAAAGAATGGTTGTTGAGCACAGTTTTGATTCACCACAAAGAAAGTTTGCTGTGATATCTTCCATTTTTGAAAGCTTCCAAGCATCAGAAGCTTCTCTCGAAACAAAGGAGAGGCTTTTCTTTACCTTGCTGATTAAAACCTCATTAATCAAAAAAAAAAAAAACTGTCGAATGGCAAGATTTAACTTGAGAAGGTGAAGCTTCTAGATATTATATCTTTTTTCACCTTTTCCAGAATCTTTGGCTCGTTTTGCAACTTGCTTATGTTATCCGAAAAGTGAATAGCACAGGTCAAAGAGTATAACTCAAATCAGTGACAGATTTCGATTTTTCCATGGCTGTGCTTCTTAGAACCGTAAAGTGAGATTGCTTTTCCCCTTTGCTTAACAACTGGCAGATATACAATCTATACCAATATCCTCAGCAAACGCTCTCTTCTATTTCCTTCTCGATTAAATCGCCCACCTTTACCTAGCACTTAATCAATGCACTCAGCCTCCCAGTGAGCATTTCCAACATGAAAAATAAATTCCTTGGCCTCCCTGCCGTTTGAACCCGAGGCCTTGGATATTGGACGCCCTGTTCAACCGCCATGCAGAGTCCTTAATCAGTCATCTTCAGTGGGTGTGGGCACGGGGGGGCGCAGCAGCTCCCCTCCGCTCCGCTCTCGGGACCACATTTTAGCATCCCCCCATCCCACTTCATCCACCAAACTCGATAGGGACACGACACCCGCCGGCGCTTTTCTCCGGGCAGGGCCGAAAGCGCAGCGACTTTCGGTCGGCCCGAGGCGCCTCAGGACCCGCATGTGAAGCCGAGATGAGTTGGGAGACGGGTGCCGAGTGCAACGGCCGAGTTGCGCCGTCGTTTGGATGCGACCTTGGGGCGCTGATCGCGGGTTAATATGCCTTGCGTCATTCTTGGACGATGGTGGCCCGTGGGCTTGAAGAGGGTGTATCGTTGCTAAGGGTCGAGGTTCATGTGTAACGTCACAGAAAACGGCGCCTTATAGCAATGAACTGGTCAAATCGATAATTACTGATCTTAAGGCAGGATATTTCTTCGAATTGATTTAATAGTTGATTGCGCTAAAGCCTAGTTAAATCCTTCTGCAAGCGGTAGCCCTTCTTCAGCAGCATCTGGGTTCTGGGAAGCTGCACCGGCAGGTGACCATTAATACAGCAGCTCAACTTTCAAGCACTGCCTATCCAGATCTGCATCGCATGCAGCTCTTTACCCTTTCGTGAACCCGGGCGGAAGCTCACAAATCCGTTGGCGAAGTGCTGATGCCGAGTTAGTCGTTTGCGGAAGAGCCTGCATGGGTTACACGGCGAGCGGGGCCCGAGAGTGGCACTGCTTCCCAGATCGAGAAAGGGGCTGACGCCTGCGCCCTCGAGCTCTGAAGATCTTTTGCTCGGGATCAGTGGCCTCCGGTTGTACAGATATTTTAGATCTGAGGATGCAACAGAGGATGGTGTCTGGATGTGTTAATGTGGGGTGGATTGCTAAGATCTACATTTACACGGAACTAGGTTTCTAAAGTTGGAAATCAGAAATGGAAATTCCAATGCTAATTCCTTAGTTTTCAGTCTCTAAATAAGAATAGATTAGATTAGAAGATAAGCGAAACAAAATGCTAGTTACGTCTCAGTGTCAACTTGAACAACGGCTTGGGATTGTGGTTAACGACATGAAACAATTCAAAACACTTCGGAAGATATCCTCTTCTATATTGTCCTATGTTCGGACCACCCTAAGCGGTTGGCTCTTGGGGCTCCTTAAAAAAAACTGGTCACGTAAGGAATACTAGAATTTCCTCCTTCTAGAAAATCGCATATCGGAACGTAATTATATCCAAATCCTTAGAGCTAAGCTTAGAATTATAAAGAAGAAGCTCAAGTGCCTTTCTTTATATTTTAGTAGTTCTGAGATATAAGGGGCTTTTATTGTGATTTTTTAAAGCTTAGGGGGGAATCTGAAGCTAGCGGCTCTATAGAAAGCGCTAAGAAAAAAAAACCTGGCTTTATATACTCTCTTCTTTTTCTTCTTTTTATTACTATGGATTTTTTCCGCTTTTATATTTTCTATAGGCAAAATCGGCCTGCTTCTGACTTTATTATAAAGCGAGCTAAGCTATATAAGACTTGCTATTACTATTGAGTTTATATCTCTCCCCCTCTTTTCTGGCTTAATTAATTAGTTAATAGGCCCGAAATACTACTAATTATATCTAGCAGTACCCTGCCTTATAAGAACTCGATCCAAATATCCTTTC